TTCTCAATCTCCTTTGTGGATTCCTCTTCTTCCCCTTCATCTTATAACTAAGAATACCTCTGGCTCCAGAAAGGCAAGTCCTGGGTCATACTGTGTCTCTTGCTACAGGGTTTCAATGAGTAGTTACCTTTCTCTTCTTCATCTGTTTTCTCTGCAGTGGCACTGGTTTTGATAACACCTACACAAGAAAACAGTTGTCATAATCAGAAAGGCAAATATCAAACCCACCCAAAAGGTGGGACAATGTAAATACTAAAATTTATTTTACATGATCAAAATGAAAATAGTTGGCACTTCTGTGTGTTTAATAAATTTTTATTCCTACGAAATTTTTAAGTACATAAGAAAATTTTAATTTTCTGGAAATTTTGGCTGACTTCAAAGTGATCAGCAGAATGTCACCTCTGACTTACTTACCCTAAAATAAACTATAGCTTTATATTAGCAAACATAATTAAACATGAGAAAGAAAAATTAAAAGACAGAGGTAAAATGATCACTTTTTATAGAATGTATGACTGTAAACTTTTAGGGCTAAGTATCAACTTAAGTAAACAGAAATCAGTAGTTTACATAATTATATAGAGAGATATAATTGAAAAAATCTGACTTATAATAGCAACTAAAAAGATAAAATGTTGCACCTAGAAAAAAAGTTAACAAAAACACGCAAGACTTAGATGAAGAAAACTTTAAATCACGCATAAAATAATGCAAATAGGTACAGCTAAAAGACCCCATAAATTTAAATGGAAATCTAAGATATTTACTTAACCCAAAAGAAGGCAGAAAAGAGGCAGAGAACAAAATATAAGGGGACAAACAAATCAAACAGTAAAATTGCTGGGTTGAAATGTGGATTGTGGACCGACCCCAATTCATATGTTGAAGTCCTAAGAATATACCTCAGAATGTAACCTTGTTTTGAGATAGGGTCATTGCGGATGTAATTGGCTAAGATGAGGTCATTAGGGTGGGCCCTAATCCAATAGGATTAATGTCCTTCTAAAAAGGGGAAATTTGAACATAGATATACACACAGGGAAAATGCCATGTGAAGACGAAGACAGATTGGGGTGGTGCTTCTATAAGCCAAGGAACACCAAACATTGCCAGATCCTTCCTCACAGCCCTCAGAAGGAACCAACACTGCCGACAACCTGATCTTGGACTTCTGGCGTCCAGAACTGTGAGACAATAAATTTCTATTGTTCAGCCCTAGCCAGTTTGGCTCAGTGGACAGAGTGTAGGTGTGCGGACTGAAGGGTCCTGGGTTCGATTCCCGTCAAGGGTACATGCCCAGGTTGTGGGCTTGATCCCCAGTAGGGGGCATGCAGGAGACAGCCAATCAATGATTCTCTTCCATCATTGATGTTTCTCTCTCTCCCCCTCCCTCTCTGAAATAAGTAAAAATATATATTTAAAAAATAAATTTCTATTGTTCAAACCACCCAGTTTGTGATACTTTGTTATGGCAGCCCTAGCAAACTAGTAATAGGTGGAGATTGGGAACTGGGTAAATGGTGGCCAGATGGAAAGGCCTTTCACCTGTTTATACTTTATGAGTTATTTGTGGGTTTTTATTATTGATTGCAGAGAGGAAGGGTGAGGGAGAAAGAGATAGATACATCAACGATGAGAGAGAATCATTGGCTCTCTCCTGCACATCCCCTATTGGGGATGAAGCCCACAACCCGGGCACGTGCTGTCATCAGGAATCGAACCGTGATCTCCTGGTTCATAGGTCAAGGCTCAACCACTGAGCCATGCCGACCGGGTACTTTATGAGTTTTGAACCCAGATTAACCTTTAAAAATTTTAAAGAAACATTATCAAGTGAACAGTGACGGAGGCTAGATCAACTCTGGAAAAATAACATATCCCCTTCAGTGTGAAACCGACGTTACCAGCTGTCAAATCCAGAGCGAACATTTGCCGAACATGCTAAATGAAAGCTCCTTTTCACATTACAGCTATGAGTACAAAGCAGAAGCAAACGTGTAACTTGTACCAGCTTACAACTACTCGTGACTCACCATTTGTATCTGATTTGACTCTCTCTTCCTTGATCTGCAAATTACTGATCTGAATGGAAAGAAAAGAAAACACTTGAGAGCAGAGCCACAGGATGACTTAATACCATGAATTATGTATTAAGCTAATGTACACAAGTCTAGATGGTAAAATAAAAAGAGGGGAGGGTTTTTACCAACTATCAGGAAGCAGTATTTTAAAACATTAAGTTACATCAGCCTCCTGATAAGCAAATTGTTTAGAACCAGATAGCAAGTATATTCATATCTCATCTAGATTAGGAAAATAGGTTTAAAAAGATGTGAAACAAATTCTCAGTAACTGTCTTTTAAGAAAGATCTGATGCTAAACACTAGATTGTAAACTCGAGAGCACCAGAACCATATACTGTATCATACTTTTTTTTTTTTTAAATATATTTTATTGATTTTTTACAGAGAGGAAGGGAGAGAGATAGAGAGTTAGAAACATCGATATGAGAGAAACATCGATCAGCCGCCCCCTGCACATCTCCCACTGGGGATGTGCCCGCAACCCAGGTACATGCCCTTAACCGGAATCGAACCTGGGACCCTTCAGTCCGCAGGCCGACGTTCTATCCATTGAGCCAAACCGGTTTCGGCTGTATCATACTTTTTAAAAAAATTGGTATCAGAGAGGAAAGAAGGGGAGAGGGAAACATCAATGATGAGAATCACTGATGGGCTGCCTCCTGCACGCCCCCCACTGGGGACTGAGCCCAAAACCCTGTCATTCGCCCTGGCTGTGTTTGATTCCCACTGATCTCCTGGTTCATGAGCCTATGTCAGGGGTGGGCAAACTTTTTGACTCAAGGGCCACAATGGGTTCTTAAACTGGACCGGAGGGCCAGAACAAAAGCATGGATGGAGTGTTTGTGTGAACTAATATAAATTCAAAGTAAACATCATTACATAAAAGGGTTACGGTCTTTTTTTTTTTTAGTTTTATTCATTTCAAACGGGCCGGATCCGGCCCGCGGGCCATAGTTTGCCCACGGCTGGCCTATGTGCTCAACCACTGAGCTATACAGTCCGGGCCATATCATACTTTTTGAATAAAATATATAAAAACCGAAATCTGTTATTCTGCATAGCTACAAACTACCAACCATGTTAAGCATGGGCCTAAAAAAAGTTCAAATAAGGCACTGTCCCTCCTGGGAGCCTATCTTCCCTTTCAGGAGTGCATCTCCTAGACCAGCGGTTCTCAACCTTGGTTGCACATTAGAATCACATGGGAATCTTTTTTTTTTTTTTTAATTGCTTAAAGTATTACAAAGAGTATTACATATGTCTCCTTCCCCCCCCACCCCCGCCCTTGACAATCCCCTGGCCTTCCCTACCCCCCAGTGTCTTATGTCCATTGGTTATGCTTATATGTATGCATACAAGTCCTTTGGTTGATCTCTTACCCACCCCCCTCCTGCCCTCCCATCCTCCCCCGCCTTCCTGCTGTAGTTTGACAGTCTGTTAGAGGCAGCTCTGCCTCTGTATCTATTTTTGTTCATAAGTTTATAATGGTCTTTATTATCCAGAAATGAGTGACATCATGTAGTATTTTTCCTTCATTGACTGGCTTATTTCACTTAGCATAATGCTCTCCAGTTCCATCCATGCTGTTGCAAATGGTAAGAGTTCCTTCTTTTTTATAGCAGCATAGTATTCCATCATGTAGATGTACCACAGTTTTCTAATCCATTCATCTACAGATGGGCACTTAGGCTGTTTCCAGATCTTAGCTATGGTGAATTGTGCTGCTATGAACATAGGGGTGCATATATCCTTTCTGATTGGTGTTTCTGGTTTCCTGGGATATATTCCTAGAAGTGGGATCACAGGGTCAAATGGGAGTTCCATTTGTAGTTTTTTGAGGAAACTCCATACTGTCTTCCATAGTGGCTGCACCAGTCTGCATTCCCACCAGCAGTGCACAAGTGTTCCTTTTTCTCCACATCCTCTCCAGCACTTGATGTTTGTTGATTTGTTGATGATAGCCTGGGAATCTTTTTAAAATCCTGATTTCTGGGCCTCATCCTCCGGAAATTCCGTTTCTTTGTTACTAATGTTGTGGCCCCACCCCATAACAAAGAAACAGAATTTCCAGAGGATGAGGCCCAGAAATCAGGATTTTCAAAACGATTCCCAGGTGATTCTAATGTGCAGCCAAGGTTGAGAACCACTGTCCTAGACTCTAACGATCCCCCAAGAGACCTGCAACCAGGGGAGCAGTGGGCAGCGGCGGCTCCAACCAGGCTCACCCCTGAACCTGCCTCCAAGGCCCCCTCTTCTCTGACTTCCCAGTGAAACCACGCAGTCCCGCCTCGGCTCTCCTGTTGCTCCTTCTATTCTAAGCACTCCCTTGCTTCACTGTCCACGGCTTTAATATAGGTACTCTCAAAATCAAAGTTAACGATGTTAAAATAAGGGAAGCACACTGTCGTTCTACTCTTGATGAGAAAGAGAACCAGCCTAAACTTGCCTCTCCTTGACATCCCCACTGGGAGATGCGATACAGAAAAGACAGCATACGTAGCGGGAACAGACTGCCACCGGATAAAAGCCTTAAACTGGCCCAGAGGGAAACAAAAGGCTCGAATCAGCACGGAATCCTCGGCGGGCCATCGGCCTGCCCCCCCACCCCCACCCCCGTGGGCTCCCTGGATTTGGGGCAGGGTCCGCTGGGGCCCTCCTACTTCCTTCTCCCCTGAAACTGCAGCCACTGACCGACTTGACAGCCGCTTCCTGCTGGTCCACGGCCAGGGCCCACGAGTCGGAGGCCATGATGCGGAGGGAGGGAGGCCGGCTAGCGAAAAATGCACACGCTCGCACAGATCCCGAGCCCGCCGCCGGAGCGAGAAGGTAACTCACGCGGACCGGAAGTTGCGCTGCTTAACCGTGACGTCAGTTCCGGCCGGACGCGAACGTCACCATTCCGCGCCGCGCCGGCCCTTTTCGAGCCGCGCCCGCTCCCGTCTGGCGCCGAGTCGAGGCCTCCGCGGGTTTCCGCGGGCTTAGCCTTCCGTGTCTCAATGTCTGAGGTCTGTGAGGTGAAACTCTTAGCCTCGCTTTGCCGAACTTCACGCTGAAGTAACCCAGGTTTTACTTTCAAACCTGCCACGTCTCGCTAAGTGTATGTCTCTGAACTCTAAAGACAAGTTCTCTGAGAATACTACCCGATGCCGGTTTCCACTGTTAGGAACGCGGTGACAGGTAAGACGGCAAAAACCAAAGAAACCAAAGCCCTGACCTCCCTCCCCGCCCTCAGCCCCACCCGCCGGAACACAGCGGCCCTGTCCTTCTCTTCGGCCATTCCAGCCCTGGTCCGTCCCCATCGCAGCGCAGGGGGACACAAAGCGGGCGTACAGTGTAAACGTTGACCTGTTTGTCATGCAGCTGAATGTTTTTTTGTTTTTTTTTTTTAAATATATTTTATTGATTTTTTACAGAGAGGAAGGGAGAGAGATAGAGAGTTAGAAACATCGATGAGAGAGAAACATCGATCAGCTGCCTCCTGCACATCTCCTACTGGGGATGTGCCTGCAACCCAGGTACATGCCCTTGACCGGAATCGAACCTGGGACCTTTCAGTCCGCAGGCCGACGCTCTATCCACTGAGCCAAATCGGTTTCGGCCAGCTGAATGTTTTTAATGTCATGATTACCAATGCACCGGCAGAACGGTCCATCACACTCGTATCACGTCCGTTGCCCATCTCCTTCCTGGCGTTTTATCACTTGGTAACCCTTCAGCAGACAGCCGCTCACCGTCAGAAGGCATCTTACCTGTTTGCTGCCTGTTTCCTTTCGTCTCTCCCCACTAGAATCTGAACTGGTTAGTGAACCTAGAAGAGGTCATGGCACACAGTAGGCTCTCAGATACCACCAGGCAACAGAAGGGAGAGGAATGTTCCTCAGACAGTGACGTGGGCCTCTGGCCAGTGCGGCTCAGTGGGTTGGGCCTCGGCGTTGTACCAAAAAGGCCACCAGTTCGATTCCCGGTCGGAGTTCATACCCGGTTGCAGACTCATAAGCCAGTCACAGAAAAACAAGTGTGGACGGTGGAAGAGTCACGATCCCAGAGACAGGAAGTACAGTGATAGTTCCCAGGGAAAGGTCATGGGAATGGTGTATTGGGTATGCTTTCCATTGTACAAGATGAAGAGTGAATAGAGCCGGCCGGCGTGGCTCAGTGGCTGAGCGTCAACCTATGAACCAGGAGGTCACAGTTCGATTCCCGGTCAGGGCACATGCCCAGGTTGTGAGCTCGATCCCCAGTGTGGGGCGTGCAGGAGGCAGCCGATCAATGATTCTCATCATTGATGTTTCTCTCTCTAGCCCCCTCCCTTCCTCTCTGAAATAAAAATATATATATATTTTTAAAAAAAGAGTTCATGGAGATGGACTGTGGTGATGGGTGAACAATCTGAATGTATTTAACACCACTGAACTGTGCTCTTAAAAATGGTTAAGATGGTAAATTTTATGTTTTACCACAATAAAATACAACTGGAAAAATTGGGAGCTGGGAGTGGGAAAGGTTAAAATAGGAGAGGGAGAGCCGCTAGAACAAGTCCTTAAAAGCCACAGGAGAGAGAGTTTAGTGCACTGATAGGAAAATTTAGACAATAAGGACCCCTCCTGTTGTAACAGGAGCGGGAAGACGTGTGCTTGGCGATAAGTCTGGTGGCGGAAGGCTGAGGGTGTCTCCTGTGTTGGCTGTTTCCTCGGATTAGGGAGAGGACTTGCTGAAACCTGAGGGAGAGGATGGGGTGGGAAGTTTGAGGTGAGTCTTGAATGACCCCTGAACAGAGTGGGGGAGTTAACCAGAAAGGACGCATGACCTGTAGGTTAGAGGCACTGCAGCTTTTCCTAAAGTTGACCCCTCCACTGATGTTGAATATGAAGTCAGATAAATAGGACAATGTTTATTTTGTCCCTGTCATATAGACCTACTTGCTTTAGAAATTAACAAAGCAATACTGAAACACTGGGACCTGTTTTGTTGTTAAACTTGGACTCAAATGGCATTGGTTTATTAGGATGATCTCCATGCAAATGAAGAAGTTGTTGGTGTCTGAGAGGGACGCAGACCAGATAATAATACACCTGGTCATGGCCACACAACCTGGCCAGGGCCTAACTCATGTCCTTTCAAGTCTTAAGTGTGGAGACATTTGCTTTCAGGAGTAGAACAGAAGACTAGTTGTCTTTTCTTCAATTGGGCTGGAGGCATATAAATGAGGATATAACAGAAAAGTGTAAAGACTCACAAAATGTGTACTAGTACTTCCCAGAGAGTTCTATGTAAACAACCCCCTCCTCCCATTTCCTCTGGGAGAAGGAAATGGGTGTAGTCCTGGGCGATAAGGCTACCCAACCATTAGATATTGATAAAGCAGAGGCGATAAGTATCTCATTTGAGCAGCTGACAGACCAGCCATCACTGTCAGGCTTCACTTAATATTCTTTCCTCCACCTACTCCTATACCCCATTTTACTTAAAAAAAATTTTTTAATATATTTTATTGATTTTTTTACAGAGAGGAAGGAAGAGGGAGAGAGTGTGAAACATCGATGAGAGAGAAACATCGATCAGCTGCCTCTTGCACCCCCCCACTGGGTATGTGCCCGCAACCAAGGTACATGCCCTTGACCGGAATCGAACCTGGGACCCTTGAGTCCACAGGCCGACGCTCTATCCACTAGGCCAAACCGGTTAGGGCACTTAAAATTTTTTTTATTGATTTCAGAGAGGGAGAGATAGATACATCAGTGATGAGAATCATTGATCAACTGCCTCCTGCATGCCCCACACTGGGGATCAAGCCTCCAACCCGGGCATGTGCCTTGACCAGGAATCAGACCATTATCTCCTTGTTCATAGGTTGATGTTCAACCACTGAGCCACGCATGCTGGGCCCCATTTTACTTTTAGAACTATCTGTATTCAAAACTACTTTGGAGAACCTACTTGCTCTCCTGAATACTAACCAGAACGATTTCTAAGCCAAGGAAGAAGCATCTAACAACAGTGGCATGAGGAAGAGACATAAAGTAGGAGTGTAACATCTTCCAAGCAGATCCCCACCTGGCCTCGCACTTCCCACTAGGTGTCTGAAGCTACTCTGGGGAAACCCTGTCCCAGATCCAGGATTAGGGCACTGGAGCCGTCTACCATCAGCCCTTCAGTCTCCTCACCTCCATTGTATCATTTTTAGAAGTTGCTGTAATCTGAATCAACAGAATAAGGAATATTTATTCTCAATCAGAAAAGCAAAGTCAGGTAAAACTGCAGGAGTTCCTAAGAACCTGCTATCTATGTCCCAGACCAGGAGAAACCTAAAGAAAGTCTCTGAAATCTACAAAAGCTTGGGAGGTGTTGGGAGAGGGGCCAGTCCCTCTGTAAAGATGACAGGCCTGACATCATACATTCTGTGTAGGAAACTCAACACTGATCCGATCTTTTCTTCCCTTTGCGTTTCTCCCCAGAATTATTTTGAATAGTGTATCTAATTATTGAGTTACAAATCATCTTTGGAATAAAAATAGTAGATAGGCATGTAAGCCTGCTCTTCTTCCTCTGTAATATTCCTCCAGTCCATTTTTTTTCCTGCATTCTCAGTACAACCAGTGACATCTCAGTACAAACAGTGGCACTTGCTGTGTGATGGGACTGATGCAATAATTTTCTAACTGGTTTCTCAGAGGCCAGCCTTTTCAGCTTCAGTATATCCTGTACACCTCTACTAGACCAATTTTCCCAACTGCCCCCCCTGCAAAACACAATTTCATCACCTCCTGTGTTTTAAGAATCTATAATTTACTAATAAATCCAAATCCTGTTCAAACAATCAAATCTCCATTTTCTACCTATTGAGGCTTTTCTCTGCCCACATGGCTAGGCTGCTTACCTTATTACCCTTCCTGTATACGGTGTTTATCCTGGTGAAGTTACTATAGTCTTCATAGGACCAGTCTGTCTGCAGTGGTCAGCAAACCACGGCTCGCGAGCCACATGAGGCTCTTTGGCCCCTTGAGTGTGGCTCTTCCACAAAATACCACGTGCAGGAAATACTATTGCAATTGGGGCAACAGCATACAGTACGATTGAAACTTCGTGGCCCATGCGCAGAAGTCGGCATTTTGTGGAAGAGCCACACTCAAGGGGCCAAAGAGCCATATGTGGCTTGCGAGCCGCAGTTTGCCAAGCCGCAGTTTGACAACCACTGGTCTAAGGCATTCTTCTTGTCACTTGAAATCCCTTTTCCCTCATAAGCAAACTCCGTCATGAATCTTCCCTAACCTTGGTTATCCTTAACTTTGTTTAAAAAAAAAAATATTTTTATTGATTTCAAAGAGGAAGGGAGAGGGAGAGAAACGTCAATGATGAGAATCACTGATTGGCTGCCTCCTGCAAGTCCCACACCAGAGATCAAGCTGGTAACCACGGCATGTGCCCCGACTGGGAACCGTGACCTTCTGGTTCACAGGTCGATGCTCAACCACTGAGCTACACCAGCTGGGAGGAAATCCTTACTTTCTGAATACCAAGGCACTTTGAATGAAATGGCCTTCAAGTTAAATAATAAATGACATGGGGCCCTGGTCTGTGTGGCTTAGTGAATAGAGCATTATTCTGGGCACCGAAAGGTCTAGTGTTCTATTCCTGGTCAAGGGCACATACCTGGTTCAATCCCCAGCCCCGGTAGGGGTGCAGCCAATCAATGTGTCCCTCTCACATGGATGTGTCACTCTTTTCCCTTCCTCTCCCTCCCCCACTTCCACTCTAAAAAAACCAAAGGAAAAAATATCATCGGGTAAGGACTGACCAAAACAAGAGATGGGAACAACAAAGGGAGAAGACCTCTTTCTGAATCCCATTTTTATTCCTTTCCTAGGACTAGAAAAATTGAATGTAAGAACTTTGTATTTGCTAGCATCTACATTCTTTCTAATTAGCCAGCATCCTCTGGTTTACCAGCAGGAAAAAAGGGAATGTGAACAGACCTCTGGCAACTGGGTAGGGCCGGCCCTTGGCCTATGGAGCCATCCCAACTACTCATGTTGGAGCAATATCAACTTTGAAATGGAACAGTAATATAAGGTGATGACTAGCTTATAGAATAATAGGTGAGTCTTCACTTATGTATGATTACTAATATCAGCAACCAAAACATGCTGTTTTCTTCTTATAGTCATTAATGATATCTT